AAAATTACTTTTTGTTAGGTTTTTGCCACTTAGTTTCCCAAAAAATTTGAAGTGAGATCAAAGAAGCTTGATTTCCCGGAAAAACAAGAGAACTCAATTTTTGAGTTGATCTGTTGAGGTAAATTTCGATTTTTAATGAATATTTTATGCTAATTGTGCAGAAATGGAGAGATCTCTGGAATTTTGATTAATTTTGTTTAATTTTCAAAGTGAAATTGATGAAAAAATGAGGGGAATTTTTGTCCAAAAAGTTATAATTTTGTGTTCCATCGGCTGGAACAAGTCGTTCCAGGGGGGAGGGTGGCACAAAAAATTGACTAAAATCCGTTCCAGGGGATAGCGCATCCCAGGCAAATTGGCCCACCAAACGTGGGACGAGTGCGTCCCATCCCATTGCGTTTCATCTCATCCCACATACCAAACGGTACAAGGGACCAAGTTATAAGGACAGTGTTCCCTCCTCCCAAATTTTTTTTCTTCTCTCTCTTTATGTTGATGTTGATGGTTGTAAGCTATCCTTTCTTTTTTTTCTCTTCCCTCCTGTTCAAACGCTCAAGATTTTATCTTTGTAAAGAAAGAGAAGAAAAAGGTAGAGAGAGAAGAAAAAAAATCTAGGAGAGGAGGGAAAGGAGGGGAGAGAAAGGAGGAGAGAATACCGTCCTTATAACTTGGGGACCAAGACTGTCCCACCTTATACTTTCCATCTCCTTCCATTCCCTCCTACTTTTTCAGCCATTGATTTCATGACAAGTTAATTTAGAGCTCAAGATTTTGTCACCTCACCAACAGCTCCAAAGGAACTTTAAAGCCCAATTTTCCAGGCTTTTTCTGCTACCTTTCATGCCCCCCTCCTATCTTCTTTTAAGATGTTTTTGTTTCTAATAAGCATTTTGCATTGCTTTGTTTTATATCATGTTTTGATGCTAAAACAAAAGTAAGAGCGCCTTGGTTGGAAAATGAGATTTCATGCCAATATATGCTTCCATTACAAGCAGAACTTTTCTGCATATTCAAAATTAATAAGCACAGAATTTGTAGATTCAAAATTACACACACAAAATTTCTTTTGCAAAAACCAACAGGATCCAAAACTATATAACTCAATAACTTTGCCTACAACCTCTTGTACTTTACAATAGAAGCAAAATTTTCAATTAAGCCTTTGGTAATGCAGACTCAAGAATGTCCAAAATAACTATAAGTTGGCTTTTTGCAATCTCTATGTATGGCATAGCTGCTTCTGCAATAACAATAAGTTGGCTTCGTCTTTTCATCTCCAGTGGTCACCGCTTACATTCAAATTCAAAGCCTACAATAGTTTTTTAAGGATACAAATAAAATTATACCATGAACATAACAAAAACAATAAAAATATATGAAATATATCTGAAAGCTTTACTTGACCATTAAATGCTTGAAAATCTTGGTGTGCAAAGGAATAACCAGTGGGATTTGTTTGGAGTAGCTCTTGAAATGTACTATACTGAGGCTCTTCATATGTCATCCATGGCATGGAATTAAGCATGTCATGTCCCTGTGACTATGAAAATTGCCACTCACCGAATTCAAAGTATGCACCACTGGAAAAGGTCCCCTTGGTTCAGCCATCACGGGAGCACAAAAAAAAGGTGGAGGAGAAGCAATATAACATCCCACTGCAACGGTCTCCTTTGGAATACAAGTTTCCTTTAGGATGTCACAATATAGATAAGTAAACCATATGACTTAGTTTACTGCTATTATAATTTTTAGAAAATTAAAAACTTTACCTTTGATGAATGGGAGTTAGATGAAGGCTTCCTTTTGGCTATAGCTTTTCCCAAACAACTCTTAAGTCGTCTTCTTCCCCGACAAGTCTCTCTCTTCTTTAATCCTTTTGCTTGGACAACAGTGGCATTGTTCAAGTTGGGAACATCATTAATCCATTATAGCTGGAACTTCCCCGTATTGTTCTTGAAAATCCTCAAATATTGCTTTCGTGTAAGTATCACCTGCTTGTTTGACCATCATAGCTACAACTTTCACTTGTGCATTCTTATAACACAAGTTATATTCAGCTTGGTACTCCTTACACCTCTGATCATCAAGTACTCTCTCAAAATGCATGAAAATTTACGACATTATACCGTATAAGTATCACCTGCTTGTTTGACCATCATAGCTGCAACTTTCACTTGTGCATTCTTATAACACAAGTTATATTCAGCTTGGTACTCCTTACACCTCTGATCATCAAGTACTCTCTCAAAATGCAATAAAATTTGTACAACATTATATCGTGTATGTATCACCTGCTTGTTTGACCATCATAGCTGCAACTTTCACTTGTGCATTCATATAACACAAGTTATATTCAGCTTCAAGTACTCTCTCAAAATGCATGAAAAATTGTACCACATTATATCGTGTAAGTATCACCTGCTTGTTTGACCATCAGAGCTGCAAGTTTCACTTGTGCATTCTTATAACACAAGTTATATTCAGCTTGGTACTCCTTACACCTCTAATCATCAAGTACTCTCTCAAAATGCATGAAAATTTGTACCACATTATAGTCAGATTGTAAATACGCTTTTAACCTAGCATTGAAGCTCTCACTAATTCCCGTAGTTGTCATTCCTGCAGACCATGCCATCTTTACATATGTCTTAGCCCATTTTTTTCTCAACTTCTTTATTCCTTTCAACCACTCTAATGCTTTCCCTTGCACATTATGTTTCACAAGCATATGTGCACGTCCTCGATGATGATTCAAGCCAGCAAACACGGCAAACGGACGACCTGCTCGATTAGTTTTATAGGTAGTGTCAAATGAAACAACATCTCCAAAATGACCAGTCACTTTCCATTTTAGCATCCGCCCCGAATATATTGGTTATTTGCTCTTCAGTATCCGTCCGGCATAAAAAATGAAGGATTTTCAACTGTCTTACTTTGAAAATATCTCAACAAGCTTCCTGCTTCACCATACACCATTTTTCTTTGCCATTTAGACAGAAGATAGTTAATCTGATCAACCTTTGTATAACCAAGAGATTCCCTTCCTCCAACATGCTTAGCCATCAACTCATAAGACGAACGAAGTGGGATACCAGATTCCTCTGCCAAGTCTAACTCAGCAGCCTGAGAGTTTTATATTTTTCGCTGAGATGGTAGCATATGGGCTCACTCTGGTTTCTGAAGAGCATGATTGTGTTGTTCCTCAAATTCATGCACAAAAAACCTTCCATTAGATCTATTCAACTTCTTAACCCTTGAGCATGACAACCTGTCCGTGTCTCTGCCCTTGGCTGCTTTGCCTTGTAATCCCGCTTATCTTGGAGCCGAAAACCCTCCTTACTACAAGCAAAAATTCTTGAAGTGACTTCATTAGTTTCTTATTCTTGTAGTGACGCTCTTTTCTAATACTAAATCCCACTTCTCGTCCGTAGGCATTATATAAATTATAGGCTGCTTCTTGTGAATCAAACTCCATACCACAACTCGGTGTACAATCGAATTCGTTCGAGTCATCATTGTTGATATTATTTGCTTCTTCATAATCAATCATTCTCAATCGTATATGCAATATAGAAAAAGGTATGGTAGAGAAAAGAATCAACATTTCGAAGTTTTTTTTTTTTACGGAGGTTGCGGGCTTTAATCAACTAGTATACTTCAAAATTGTTATCAATTACTCTAGAAGAACAAATAATGGGACACATTCAATCGGAAAAAGAGGACCCCAACATGTCATAAAAAAGAAAATACAAATCCAATAGTGAAAAGGTGCAAAAACAAGCAAAGAAAATTACATAATTGGACCTGGGAAGACCCAATGAAGATGCAGCGGTGTAAAATGGCATAAGGATAGAGTTGCAAAAGGTAAGAAGATCAAACTTATTGCGATTTGGACCCAGAAATCGAATTGGCGGGATTTAAGTTTAGGAAAAGTGGAAGATCCGCTATACAAATGATGGGAAATATGTGTTAAAAAGTTAATAACTTAAAAAATAAAATTTCCCATCATGTATATAAAAACACATGGTATACCACCTGTATTCCGGTCATAATGAAAATTTTATCGCTGGAAAGGTAGCAAAAAGAAGTCATGAAATTGGGCTTTAAAGATGCTTTGAAGCTGTTAGTGAGGTGGCAAAATCTGGAGCATTAAATTAACTTAACATGAAATCAATGGCTGAAAAGTAGGAGGGTAGGAGGGGAGGGAAGATGATGAAAAATAAGAGGGTAGACAATCTTGGTTCCCAAGTTATAAGGACGATGTTCTCTCTCCTCCCTCTTTCTCTCCCCTCCCTTCCTTGATTTTTTTGTTCTCTCTTTACTTTTTTTCTTCTCTCTTTACAAAGATAAAATCATTTTCCTCTCTCTTTACAAAGATAAAATCATGAGCGTTTAAACAGAAGGGGAGAAGAAAAAAAGAAAGGAGAGGTTACAACCATCAACATCAACATATCCCTTGTCTACTGTCGGTTGGTTATGCAAAGAATTATTATTTTCCTTCTTACAATTATCAACGTTAAACTTAAATCAATTTGGATAAAGAGCTTCTCAATGGAGCAAAGAGTCAATCATACGGCATTTATCAATCTTGTGAGTATTGGGCTTCAACCATCCATGAAGATATGCACAAATAGCAACTGTAGGCTCATCAAACATTGCAAAATCCTGCTAAAAAAAATTTTATTTCGCCAATACCAAATTAACCAACAAGCAACAAAAAACCTAACCTCCACTCTAAACCTCCCAATACGAGTGAATTAGTGGTGAGATTAAAATGAAGACAATCATGAAAATCAATTTAGTTGATTATACATCCTCAACCTCAGCCAAACTTCTCTTGCCTTATGACAATCTTTAACAGCATGAGGCGCTGATTTAAAGCCACATGTACATCATTAACACTTAGGGTTATCAATCGTAACCCCTTCAGCCTTTGATCATTAGTTAGGAGCTTATCAAGAGTGAGCAACCATAAGAAACTCTAAACTTTCGAAGGAATATGAAGATTCCAAATGAGATTTATCACATATTAGGAAAACCACTAGAATTAATGGCCAACATATTAACATCATTTGTGTTCCACTCCAGCTACACTTATCCTCCAAAGTACCAAAACCAACTAGAATGCTAAGAATTTGTTCAACAACCTCCTTTGGTAAAACAAGTAGTGTTTACCAACATCCCAACCATTATTGTAACAATAATCAACTACGGTAGCCTTAAGCATATCGTCGGAGAGCAGGCAGCTACCATGATTTAGCCCATCTGTCAGTCCAAAATTTTACCGTATTACCAATTCCAAATTCGCCAAAGTAGCCCTTCATACAAAAGTTTAGTCCCTTCAAGAACACCTTTCCAAGTGCAAGAAGACCCTAAAGCGGTCTTATCATTGAGTAACTGACCCAATGGTCAATGTACTTGCCACTGAAAACTTTTGCCCAGAGACCATTATCCCCTCCATCAATCTCCAAGGATTCTTAGCAAGAAGAGATGTTCATAACCCTCATGTTTTTCAAGCCAAGCCCACTAAGAGACTTCGGAAGGCAAACCTGGCCCGACCCTGTCTGCACACCTAAACTCTAAACCCTAAACCCTATCTGCATACCATATACTGGGATAACGGAGGTGGAAGACTGAACAAGACTGGCCCGACCAGCAAGAGATGACGAATCACCTTCCAAGCAGGAAGTCGAGCTTGAGCCGTTTTAACCAGGCCTTTGTAGCTGTTTTTAGTAATGCTAGAATGAATGAGACCAGGGCCTTGTAGAAGTGGCAAACTTGATCCAGGAAGACCAGGGAGATCCCGAGAAAATCTTGTTTGCTGAGTACTCGATTAATATTCACAAGTGCTCCTGATCATAAAATGCAAGGAGCTGCTTCACATGATTATGCCAGGCAGCAACGTTTAATCCGTCGACTAGGACCCAGTCAACAACAGTTGCTGCTGGTTGCTCCCACCATTCATCAAGCTGCAGAAACGTATTGCAGTTCAGACAATTAAAGAGGGGAAAAACAAGAAAACAAAAGAATTTGTACTGCTAACGTAGAAAAATGGACTGTCTATACAACTACTATAGAACTAAAAAATGCAGGCTAACTCCGCGCATGGTGGTCACTCACCAATCCCCTAACATAGTTGCAATCTTCCAAGCACTTCTGAGCACTCAAAATTGCAGCCTTAAGTTCAGGCAACCATTTCTCCATGACAATTTTCTCTTGCTCAGCAGCCACATTTAAACAATTGCTCGTTGTCCTGCAGAATAGTAGATACAAATTAAGTGCATGTTCATCTAAAACATAGCCAAAGATCCTAAAATGCTAATTAATAACCATCACATATTTGAATGGTTTAATATTTAGAATGAATTTAACGTAACACCAGAGCTATACATCCTGAGTTTTGACAACAGATTAGAACAAAGAGCAAAATGTAATGTATTTAGAATCTGGATGAAAAAAATTCAGAACATCTAGCGCAACAAACCATGTGAATATCAAATGAAATAAGAAAGCAGTTTCTGGCACTTTCCCTCATCTCACAATGCTCAAAATGGAATTCTAGTTTATATTATTTGACCGAGGTCCACTTACTGAAACCTTCGGGTTTTGGAGGATAACAGTCTAGTTTCCTGTAAAATAAGGCCATGTAAAGTTTTACCTTTCATATTCTTGTTGAGCTCTATAGGCATGGTTCAACAACACATGACCACTTTCAACAAGATCCTGTCGTGTATGGACCAAATTGATTGCCTTTACCAAGTCCTCCAATACACTAGCTTCAGAACCACGAAGTTTCAAACAGAATTCCAGGGACTCTAGGATTGATGCTAGGGCAGCGTCTGAACCCTCCAAACCTGTTATCCAGTAAATGTTAGTTCGAACTGAAAGCACCCATTAAGCAGGCACACAAATAATGAAATAGAACAAAATAACACATCAGAACATGCATATGGTAGCATTCATTAAACTCAGGCTAAGCATCTTTAAGCTTAATTTAAAATCCAAACTGATTATCTTTATATTACTATGGTACAAGTAACAAGCTTAGGGAGCACGAGGTCACTTATGCACAATGTCCCACTGCGTACTGGGGCTTAAAATTATTCAAAACAAGATCCTTGCAGGCTGTCATGTAACAGCACCTCCATACTCACCAGCATGAAATCTAACTTTGCAGTGAGCTTTACCAATTTATTGAAAAAACTGATGCATTTTGTTTTTCTTCTTAAGTGCAATTGACAAACCATTACACACACAACTCAAAAAAGAAGGCAAAATGGATCTTCTGTTGCCAAGCCTGGGACAAGTGGGGAGGATGTATTTCTTCCAAAATCAAGCCTATAATGGAGGCAATGCCTTCCAATCTTAGGCATTCCTATAGTGTCATAGCAGATGAATGAAGACTCACCACCAGGATACTGAAGGGCAGCAGATATGCGACATATGGATGGAATTGCTGATGGATCCCTAGCTCCTGCTTTTGCAGTTAATATAGCAGCATTTTTTTCTGCAGCAGCAACAGCTTCAGGTCCAGTAGACCCATTTGTACCCATGGACTCCAAAAGTGCCTGATACAAAGTAATTAATGGTTTACATAGTTACATACACAGATTATAGAAGGTGAACAAGAAAAGACAGATTCGTATTTTCTAGCAAAAGAACAGTCAGAAAAACTTCATGATAATCAGGATCTTACACAAATTATATAAGTCCTGAATTTTAAAATCGTACAGAGATTATATACAGATTATGATTAGTCGCTAATTATGACAACCTGATAAGGGATATAAGAAACAGATTCATCAATTTTTACTTTCTAGCATTAAACCAATCAATCGCCAACTTAAAAGTAAAGAGTGTTACTTACAGGAATAACAATTCTTTAATAATGATAAAGCCACAAATTTACTCAACAAACCTGTGGAGTTGCTGGAAGCATGTAGAGGCTATTATCAGGACTTTGGTCAAAAGCAGAAACTTCTCTTTCAATAAGATCTTTTGCACTATTTGAAAGATCCATGACTATTGTGCATGCAGGAATAATAGTGCTTGATGCATACTCCCGTGCGGCTAATGGCTGCTGATTCCAGAAGGCAGCAGCATCCTACCAAGTACCAAGACAAAAATAACATTAGAAAATATTCCCGACAGAAGACAAAGAGATAGATAAGCATTATCCTAGCTGCCTCTATTGAAATATTCTACCATATGATATAAATAGGGTCTTTGGGCATCTAAAGAGGAGATAGTGGATTTCATTTAATAAAAAAAAGAGTCCATCTACTCGTTGGGCTGCTAGAAAAATTTGTCTTGAATTTTATATTATATATATATGAACTTTTGCCTGGAACTTAAAGAAAAAGAGCCGACACTCCATGGAATGACCAGACATGGCTTATACAATGCAGTATATGAAGTGACTAGAAAATTTATAAGCACTATTGAAGCTGAGATCCTTACCATGTTAACTTTTAGTAATGAGGTATATATGATTTCAAGTTCTGATCTGCGGTAATCAAATTCTTCAATCTTCTTCCACTTCTTTTTCAGAGAATCTTCAGCTTCTTTCCTTTCCGCACATAATTTATTTAAGCGCTGTATTTCAGACATGAGTGTATTCAAGCTAGCCCTCAAGCCAGCAACTTCTCTTTCCTTGGCCCAAACCTCCAGCTACATGAAGAAAATGGAAGACTGTAAAAAACCAGATGATAACACAGTGCAGGCTAAAAGTAACCTAGTATACAGTACACAACTATGAAAAGGATCAAAAGACTGAAACTAATCAAACCTGTCGCCCATGGTGCTATTTCCACCCAAACTATTGGTAGTTAATACTTTTAATATGCAAGGAAGATTTACCTCAAGTTGCCTAAGACTGCCCACATTTTGTGATGTTCCTGAAGAAATTACATCACTATTGCCATGCAAGCGTTTTGTAAGTTTTTGACATAGATCCCTAGCTTCTGCAGCTTTGTTCAGTGCATCTTCAGTAGCCAAAAATTGCTGAACATGTGCTTTCTGTGAACAATATATTCGAAATAACAAGTTAAACTCTTGCAACAAAACAAAAGCAGAAAATGTACGGGTAAAATGGAACCGAGCAATTATTTCATTTAAACAGTATGGTCGTTTATGGAATTAGGGTTTAGACCAACTATTATACTTTGGGGATAAATCATTTAAAGAAAGAGTAGGAACAATGTATCCTTGTAGTGGAAATGAGAATGATATGATGGATGATACAAGTGAATAGATGAAAATATAATTAAATATTAATGAAAAGCTACCATCTAGTAAAGAATATAACCTGTCTTTCAATAAGTTGAGTTCCTCTAGAAGGTGCATCCGCTCCTATCTTTCCATTACCATATAGTTGATAGTGTAATGGTGAACTCACATCAGGAGAAGAAACATCCATAACTCGGTTGTTCTCATACTTGTACCTGATTAAGGAATTTATGAAACAATAGGCAAGCATATGAAGAATGAATGAGAATTCGGACACCGAAATGATCGAATTTGAAAAAGGTATGCTATTATTATTTAAATCAAGCAGCTGCAAGTATTAATGGTACGAGGGGATTGGGCAGGGAGGGGGAGACCATATTATCAACAATCTTTGGCTCAGTTACTCTTCAAAGAAAAAACAAGGAAGGTATATTGTAGTTGAACAGCCTTGTCTGTAGAAGCTAAGGCAAAGAGAAAATTGAATAAACTCCAAATCTCCAACAGAACTAACAAGGAAGTATTTACCTCAAAGTTTCTGCATCAGCTCTAACATCAATTTTCTCTATCTCACTGGAAATTAGAGATTTCAACCGTGATGTGTATGAAGTAATTGCCTGAAGCAATTGAGGAGGATTCTTCAACCCATTCACAATTGCAGCTCTAACCTCATCGGGTAATTCCCCATCAAAATTAAAGCCTAACCTGGCTGCTTCTAACTGAGGATTCAAATGAATACCACTTCCTTCATATGCGGGAAAAGAACATCGAATTTTTTCTATCATATGTGCTGCAAGAGATTCACAGGCATTTCGGATATTTCTTTCCTTAGTGGTTTCAATAAGAAGTACATCTTCTGCCGCTTTACTGCCCTTAAGAGTTGAATAAACAGCTTCCTTTTCACTATTTGAACCAAAATTGTTAACCAATTCAAGAGATGAATCAACACCAGACCTTTGAGCATCTCTTGCTTGATTAACATAATAACGAAGACGTTTATGATACTCTGCAAATATCTTTTCCGCTTCATCACACTGTTGATAATAAGCCTCCAACATTACTTGATTATGCCTGCATTAAGATCAAGGATATATCAACATAGCCCACAATCCACATTGAATAACTAGAAAATTGAAATACTATACTGTGAATATCATTTGCATTTACACGGCCTTCCAAAAAAAGGTGTTTATCTTTTTGTTGGGTGGATCAATGAACTAACACGATTTTTCAAATAATAAGATCATTCTCAAATAAACCTTGCAAAGAGGAATAGCATAGCATTTCCTCCCTAAATAATCTACGTATCTCATATCAAGCTTGTATATGATGATAATCACATATCACAACAGATTTTACAAAACAAGTTTTCAACTGAACCAAATCATGTACACAGGATACTGCCAATCTTTCAGAAAAGTGCAAACCTTTTTTTAGAGCGTTCATCAAGCATCCTCTTCCGTTCAGCCTCGGCCCTTGAAACCTCCAACATTCTGGCCTTCAAATCCTTCCTCTGCCTCTTCACAATGTTCCTCAACTTCTCCACCTCCTTTGCCGCCAAGTCCCTCTCTTGCAGCGCGGCCTCTCTAGTCTCCGCCGCACTCGTACCCTCCCCAAGCTTCTCCTTTCTCCTACCTCCTTTACTCCTGGTACCCTCCTCCTTCCCCGATTTTACCAATGCGCCACCATCCCCGCCACCGCCACCACCGTGAACCGTTATATTCCTCCGAATATTCTTCACAGTGTTCTCCGACTTCACGCGGGTAATCAAGAAATTCCAAATGGGTATCATGTTCCCACGGAAAATCTTCCTCATCGAGTAGATTGAGGGCAATTGCGATTTGCTAGAAGCAGCACTGTACGGACCCAAAGGCCGGTACCCCATTTCCTTCTGAAGCCATTGCAATATCGCCTCCGGCTGAGCCGCCGCAGAGCTCTGCGACGAGCCCTGCATTCTTCCGTATACAACCTAGACTCTCACGACTCCTCAGAGAACAAAAGCTTCAGGAACTAAATCGCCATCCGCGGCGAACATTCAAGCTCCTAATTCATGCACCGGCAAACTGAAATTGGAGCTAAATTACTTCAAACGCCTCACACTGACACTGCTACCAGCGCCGGGAGAGTGCGAAAGGGTGCGGATTGGGGGCAATGGAGGTGTCTGCGCTAGTTTGTGAGAATTAGGGTTTGGAATTTGGGGGAAAATGTGTTCAACGGTAATTTGATGTTTTTAAACAACTGAAACGAGCCGTGTAATTTTGTTTGATTCAAATTAAAATTTACGACAAGACGTACGGTATCAATCCAATTTGTCCCCAATTTGTCAACCTTTTAAATTTAACTAATCAAATGTAATGCTTCACTTGACATTTGTTTTGAATTTGTTTTTTTTTTTTTTTTTGTAATAGTCAGTTTCTTTATTTTTATACAAGAAGGAAACTAAATTTGAAACTTTAACAGCATAAGTAAATGTTCTTAACTAAAAGTTTCGTACTACTAAAATGAAAACAAACAAAAATTTGAAAATCACAGTAATTTAGTGGCTAAAAATAAATATGAGTACGCACGAAGATAAAAAAAAAAAACGTGTAAAATCACTTCTTTAAAATCATCTATTTTTCTTTTCATACAATTGAGAAATTGAACATAAAACTTGAAGTGGAAAAGTGAGGAATCTCTCCTTACTACTAAACCGATTTTTTTGAATAAAAATTAGAGTTTGGCGTGCGGTGTTTGTCAAGATAATGCGCCATTTCTATTGTTTCTTTCTCAAACTGTAATATTTATTTGGTGCCCGGTGTTTGTTGCATGTAATAGCAAGGCCGGCAAGGCCGACGCTTTGATGAAAAACAAATAAGTTTTTTTTAGTTAAAATGGTCTATGAGATCAGTAAAATTCCTTACTTTGGTTTTTAAAACTTGAAATCGATAGAAGTAGTCATTCAGTTTGTCCATACCAATCATTTTTGTTCTTTTGTAAGAGTGTTTGTTAAATAAGGACCAAACTAACAAAATACTCTCAATTTAACAAATAATGGGACAAAATAATTTGACAAAAATTTGAGGGTTGTTTTGTCATTTTATTCTTACTCAATGAAGATTTTTCACAAAATAACCAAAATGATTTATGGTAAACAAACTCAATGATCACTTCTATTGATTTTAAAAATCAAGGACCAAATTAAGAAGTTATGTCAATCTCAATGATCATTTTGGCCAAAAAGCCAACACAAATTGCTAATCTCTTTATAGACCATCAATATGATCATCAACCACTAATTCATGCATCCTACCAAAAATGGGAAAGGGTAATGCAAGTGAGATCATTTGTTTAAATTATACTTTGTAAATAATATGACTTAACCATTGATGATTAGATTAATATTTAAGTGTTGATTTACATGCTTATTTTTTATCGGTGACACGTCACCTGATCTGCGAATGTGGTCTAAAAAGTCTTATGATTTCATATGTCTCATTACACATGAAAAATTAGAAAGAATGAGTGTGAGAGGACAAAGAATGATTTTAACTTTTTGACTTCTCATATAAGAAATGAAAAAAAAAAGGTAGGTCTTACCTTAATTTATGAAATCAAACGCATTGGTATCTAGAATTTATACCGCCGATTCACTTAATGAGATAAAATTAGTAGTTGTTGTTGATAAGTAAACAGATCATTAACAATAAAAAAAATACCATGGGTAAATACAAAGAAAAATTAAAGAACAGAATAATTGCAACTCCTAGCCAATTCAAGTGAACATGTAATGACAATTTATACTTCACCAATAGAAAAGATAAATAAATAGACACCAATTTTTTAAGGTTCTACCAAATAAATAGGCTTAAATATCAAAATGGTCCCTGTGTTTTACTTTATCGTCTAATTTAGTCATTGTGTTTTTAATTTGGCTAAACCGGTCCTTATGTTTACATCCTTTAGCCAATTAAAAACAATATGTTAAAAGACAATTAAAATTAACATATCCTAAATCGCATAGCACTCAAGTGAATTAAACGAAATGTCAATTTCTAAAGATAGACTTCGTATTTATTTAGTGGGTGATTACATTCTTTGTCATTTCACGTGCCTGACATATGTCAATTTTAACGTTTCTCTAACGAATTGTCTTGAATTGGCTAACGAATGTAAATACATAGACCAATTTGGCAAAATTAAAAATACAGAGATCATTTTGAAATTTAAGGCATAAAAAAATAAAAAACACAAAACTTTTTTTTTTTTTGGGAGAATTATTTATTTTATATTTGGATTGCGATTGGGATCATTAAAGTAAAGTTAATTTCCATTGTTAATGCAAAATAAAATATGAAGGAAATATAGATTCTTCCTTCCACCCACCCACTGTCAGGAGACAAAGATTAAAGGAGCGCATTCATAGCTTTTATCTCCCAAAATCCAAAATACGAGAAATTTTTAGTTGTAACGGAAATACAAATGGTACATCACATGTTTTAATAGAAATGAAGGGAAATTTTATTTTTTAAGTTCTTAACTTTTTAGAACACATACCTCACTATTTATTTAGTGACACATAATATATCACACCATGTACCAATGACAACGAAAAATCTCTCCCAAAATACAACTAAAGTCCAACACAAATTTTACAAATTCGAAGACCCAAATTACTCAACCCACCCACCCAAACTTAGCACCCGATTTTTTAATCATCTATTTATCAAAACACCCAGTTCCAAATTCAGCTGAATTTCCGATTCCTTGGTGCACTTGTCTCTGTCCATCCACCAATATCAATCTCCATCTCTCTTCTTCCACTTCCTTCCCACCTCTTTCAGGTACTATTCAATTTAAAAATATGTGTATATGTATTTTTTTCTGAAATTTATTTGCTTTCTGCAGTGTTTTGAATATTCTGAATGCATCAGGAATGAATTGATATCTGCAGAAGGGATTGATTTTTTTTATTTGTTTTCTTTTTCTGGTAGTGGGTTTTATTCCATGAACATTCTGATTGCTGCAAATTTGATTTTTTCAATTGGGTTTTGTTTTTTGAACCTTTTGGATGTTCCAAGATTTGATTTTTGCAAAAGGGTCTGTCTAATTACATTGATTTATGTGTTTTTCTGGATTCTTTTAATTCAATCATCTTTGAAAAATTGGAATAACTGCTTGTTTTCCTTTCACAATTTACTTTTTAAAGTTTTTGGATAGATTGACTTGACCTTCACATTTCTTTGAATTTTTGTGTTGGTTGGTATATGCCTTTCTTTCTCACCAGACTAGAGGAAGGGTGAGGAACCAAAAGATGGTTGCTTTCTGAATAGATGTGGGGAATTTGTGTCTAAAAATATCTCTTTGGTGGAACATTATAATCATAGTGACCTTCTCAATTTTCTATGTTTACTTATTATTGAAGTCATGGTATTATGTAGCTGCAATTGGTTAGGTGCTTTCGATCTTTCGCAGGAAACAGGACAATGACATGATTGATTTATTTCAAATGTATGACCTCTATGTATCAGTAAACTGATCAACATGAATTGCATTTTTTTGGGTCTTTAGCAACTGGTGAATTTGTTAGAGGATAGCACTCTTGAGTCTTAGATCTTTCCTTGTCGATGTTGTTGTTTTGTTTGAAACTTGAACATTACTGTCTTCTATTTTGCAGGTGAAGAATATAACCTTAAGTTATACCAAAACCACTGAGGCATTCAACATTGTTAAATAAAAGAGGGAGGGTACTAGTCTGCAGAGGCAGTGGGACTTCTGCGAGCTTTGTGTCCTCTCTCGTACCTGTCAAATTACGGTTGTTGCTCCTAGCGCTCTTTTGGTTATTACACAAGTGGAGCTTGGTTGGTTTCGGTCAATGAGAGTGTGGAATTGTTGCGGAGATTTATTTTGAAGCTGGCACAATGGGTTCTGTTTGTTGTTGTTTGAATGCTGAGGAGTTTGAAGATTATGTGAATCCGAACAGTTCTGCATATAGGGAATGTGTCTGTCTTCGTTGTTTTCTTCAGAACTTTCTAAATGTGGTATGCCTTCCGCCTTTGTCATCCTCATTGCTGAACTAATTCTTCTTTTTTCTTGTCCTTTTTATTTTCTGAGTTCCACATATTTATAATGCATAAAAGTTTCGACATAGGTCTTTTGTTTATTTGTAGTTATGCTCAGTGCTGCTTTTGTGCCCTCACTTATCTTCTACTGCATTGACAACCCTGTGGATATTTTGCTGGAACAAATTAAAAGCCCTTTTTTCTAGTTTACTTTTGATTGCTCGATTAGGCAGGTGCTCACTGTTTAGCAGTTTTGAAGAGTATAAAAACTGAAACTGATGCTTCTTAAGATATTAATAATGATGATAAAAACTTTAATCTTCAAGATGGAAGTATAACATGCTATCTTCTCTTATTTTGCAGTATACATCATTATTCAGAAGAGGGGAAGTGCATTCAATCCCCTCATCCATTCAGGGGGCTGCATCAATGAATTCCTCGGCATCACTTGACAACTCCTTATCTGACATGTATCATTCACCTCCAAGGCCCTTGCCTTATGATGCTGACCCTAGATACATCCAGTTACAGCGGGATGGTTTGATTTCTAGGCGGGAGAAGGGCTCAAGCCACTCTCATGAGGAGGCTGAACCTCTAAGAAGTGATACTGATGCAGATTCTGAAAGTTTGAGTACAGGAGAAAAATGGAATGGCTCTGCTTGTGGAGATGGGTCAATAGAACATCGTTCCAAGTCCTCAATGAAGTTATCATCAGCCAAAGCCACAACTGGAGTTGGGAACTTCTATACATCATCGGAGGATGAGGATGTTTGCCCAACATGTCTTGAAGGTAATTTTTATTTGGGTTTCTTTGATTGGTGTTTCTCCTTCTTCCTCAATCTCTAGTACCAAAGTTTCTTCATATTTACATTTTGTGCGTCTGATGGTTGTTTCCACTTTAAAATACTCGACATGAATGATGACCCCGCCCTGTTTAGTCTCTGGTAATTGCGAATGTTTGTTTACCGAATTGAATAAACTCAAATACATATGCAAAGGGTGCATTTTCATGGTGCCTTTGCTTTGCTTCCCTAGAAATTCCGCTCCATTAAGTTGGGCCCGAAGCTAGGAGGGAAGGGTCTGGGTAGTGATATTCACCACCATTCACGTCAAATTCTAGCTTTGCTAGGATATGGTGTTAAACGCACTTAAGCGGATTTGCAATATTTGTTGCAATTTTGATTGGTTTATGGTTCTGGAAAGTGTACCCTTATGGTACATATAACTTCTGATATATAAATTCTCATTTTTTTTCCGCTGTCGTATGCAGAATACACGCCAGAAAACCCCAAAATAATGACAAAATGCTCTCATCATTTTCACCTTGGTTGTATATATGAATGGATGGAGAGAAGTGAAAGCTGCCCTGTTTGTGGCAAGGTAACATTTTCTTTCATAATGATGATAATCTGTAGGTGGTAATGGCTTTTAGTTTTCAACTACAGTCAAATATTTGTGTTACTTTGTTACGTTATAGGCAAATTCCACCTTTGCCGATATATTGCTATGCATCTTTCGTATTTTATGACTAGTGGAAAGATAACTGTTCTAGTCTACTGCAGTCACATGAAGGTTAGCTTTAGACGTTTTAACGATTTATTTTTGTTCCTGAAGTACTCGAATATCTTTTTCCCTCACAAACATGCACAGACTCGAGCTGCTTGATCAAGCAGTTTGGTTTTGTACTGTCGATTATAAAAAATAAGACAGTCCATCCAAAAGTTATTTTTATCTGATATGACAAATTGTAATACGGCAAATTGCTTTTCTCCTGCAACCTGTATTTTTTTTACTCTGGATTTGTATGTTTGGCCTTCTAGGTGATGGTATTCGATGAAACGACTTGATCGCGATCGAAAAGGTTTGCGTCGTTGATGAATCCAACAACTTCGGAAGAGAACACTAAAGAAGTGATTTCATTGTTAATACCACATGTCAAAAAGTGTCATTTGATAGTACATATAAACTTGATTTCTGACAACTTGTAATTAAATTTTCATTCTATATAAGTTTTCAACGGAAAGAAATTTATCTGGTACTTCTTGCATTGGTGCAAAACCGAGCGCTCTGGAGTTTTAGGATCATATAGGCTCCACTCAGTGGGATATTGAATTGCTGTGGTCATTGAGTAGTAATTGTCTTCTGTGGAGCAGAAGGTTAAATTATGATTAATTTTTCACTTCTTTCCCCCTTCTTTGTGTCTCTTAAATCTCACATCAAATTAGAAAGACTGAACAAAGTTGGCCGTATTGTTTATTGGGAATTGTTATCAGCGCGCTAAAATACTGAATACAGAGGAATGTTTTTTTATCAGGTAAAACTAAAAGCAGGATAAATAAGAATACATATATGCAGATGAATGGCGAGCGTTCATTTGTCGGATATTTGATATTTTATTAGACTAGATCAAGATTGCACATTCAAATATGATTTTACTCGATTAACGATTGTCATTAACAATACTAATACAACATACAAAATTTTTTAACAAAAGGAAATTGCTCAGCATTTAAAACATGTTTCCAAGTTTGCACATTCTTGTTAGAGCTACATAGAGAGAATGCTTTGAGATGGGAAGTTGTATCATTTTGTGGCTGATTCGAAGGCAGAAGGACCTCAGTTGGCTGAGCACCACTAAGCTCTTCCTTTCCAGTAATCTTTCCGAAAAAATTAACCTAAATAATCTGTGGATCCGGATCGATGTATTAGCCAATCAAACATAAGTAAAACGAAATAGTTATCAAATGGGTCACAATTTTTGCGGGATGTGAAGTTTTCATCATCCACTACAAAATATGGGACTCCTTTTTACTCCCGAGTACTTCTTGAGCTCTTCCATGAACTTCTAGGTTTCATAAAAAAGAATCATAAATAAGAAAACCACAATGCGCTGTTTTTGTTTTTGCTCGTGTTTAAGTCTTGGTTGTTCCGGGATGTATCACCTTCATCGTATGTCTTATTACACGATGGTTACGTGATGAGAGCTACATAAAGATGAGAAATATATCTCCAGTTGTATGCTAGAATCTATTGAAGAACATTCCTCATTGAGCCGATTGTTAGGACCCCTTCTACGTCAACCTTTTCAGCACATTACAAAAGAAAATAAACGATTCAGATCACTGAAATACAATTTGAAGCATGCCTTTCGAAGGTGTCCCTCAAATAAACTAAGGATCCCTCCTCCCTCTTTATATGGATTTATACGTTGAGATTCTTGGTGCATGACAATAAACTCAGTATCCCTCCTCCCTCTTTATATGGATTTATCCGTTGAGATTCTTGGTGCATGACATCTTACATTTGACATACGTTCCTCGAACAATTCGGACACATCTTTGCCGAGCTTTTTCGTCGTTATACTCTTTCCTGTGGATGGCTTATTTCAGGGGCATCGGGGGTCGAGTTGATACGGACGCCATCGGAGCTCGAACTCGTATCGATCGTTACCTACCACCAGAGCTTAGTCGAGATTTCTTTTCGCCACAAAGCACCACGGACACAGTGTCTGCAACTATATCAACTTCCAACAGGTTTTTTCCTTCTAGCCATATCGATTGAAATATGAAGGATCAAACAAATGGAGCTTAAACGTACGAGGATCTGATGATGTTTTTGATTTAAAGTTGTTCATGAATTGGCGTAGTGGGTTTCGGACAACCTTGTGGACTGTAAACGTTTGAAAGTTTGACAGCCTACCACGTAGCTCCTGTGCTTTAAGTCTGAGTTTTCATGCAAACAAAATTTTGACCTGGCTAGTATATTTTGGCATGATGAATATTTCTCATCTAAATGAACCAATATAACTATTTGCTTTCAGTGGTTAAAAGTCTTCTGCCCGAGCATCTGTGTTCGATTCCTCTTCCTTGATATCAAAGGAACAGAATAATATTTCAAACGACTTTCAGAGTTTGCCAATCGATGTAGTTGTGGGCGTTGCAGAAACATGTCGAAGTTCAAGCATTTTAATCTTACTAGCAACGTGATTCGTGAAAACACAGCGATTTGAAACCAGAACAAAATAAAGGAACAAGAGAAAACCCGGTGTCACATGGATAGAAATATATAAACAAACCATTGATGCACATTACACTCAGAACCATTAGCATTCTTACATCACGCGAATAAAAAAAAGTTTCATGATTCACACTCAAACAACATGAAAATTACTCGTATGTATTGAAAATATATTTCCAGGGTTGGATTCTTATTGGAGATGGAGAGCGAAAGCTCGTATACATGAGGTTGCAGTTGCATCACTTTGTAGCTGCTTCAAAAGCTCTCAAGAACACCTCAGGTGGCTGACCGCCACTTAACGCGTGCTTTCCGTTGTTAATCTGCCGAAAGAACCAAGGAATTCATAAGTAGAGGATATGTTAAGCTAATCTAACAAAAGTTCAATATTCACATTCTCATCACTCACCAGAAAATGTGGAACTCCATTGATGTTTCTTGAGTACTTCTTGAGTTCTTCATTGACCTTCATTTTATCATAACAAGCAACGTCAGATCTATTGAAAATATAGAAGGTCGAATCTTATAAGTTGAATCAGTCGATCTTCAAATCTACGTTCTGTTCTCGTTTGTTAACTTGGCAAATAATAGCAACGCGAAGGAATCAGCAAACAAACCTCATCGAGCCCATTGTTGGGGTCTTCAAGAAACTCTGCGGCCCCTTCTACTCCGACCTTTCGAGCACTTTGCAGAAGATATTCCCTGTATCCAAATTGCAAATATTTGTGTTGTGCCTCTTAATTCAGATTTAAGGATGTAAAAGCATTTACTCCTACTTCATTTGTTCTCCCATGGAAGCGGTTCACAACGTTTGACACATAACTATACAAACAAAGAAATCACTACTACATACAACCTTAAGGCATACAGATGTAAAGTCATCGAAAACTGGCCTGAAACTGTTCGTAATTACCTGTCCCCGATGTATTTTGCCTGTGTGAAGTATCCGAGAAACAGTTCACCCACAAGATCGTGTTGCTTATTGTGCCCTTGAGTCCCAGCAAAATAGATAAGCCTGTGGCTATCTAGAGTACTTCCCCTGTACAATTTGGATACAATGCTAATAACTTAATACATAAACTGCAATCCAAGTTCTAACAAAACCTTTTCCGGGCTTTCCCTCCATCACGAATTTGTTGTTTACAGATTACACAATCAGCGTAACAATGGAAAAGGAAGAAATAAGTATCCTTTAAACTTACGTGAGTCCGGACAGGTTATATTCGAGGCCGTGGCTTCTGAAAATCTGCACTTGTCAAAGGGGACACAGTGAGTGACCGGAGAGATGAGAGGAAACATGTATTTTATGTGTTCGATTTGTACAGGTGAGTCGTAGAATTGCAGCGATACCTCTTGCATCCGAGCCTCCATTTGTTTCGACCTACTAGACCCGAATTTTTCCTCGTAATAACTTCTCTTATCAACGCCTTCTTTAGGCGCATTGGGATTAAGTTGGAATGGATGCCATCTAACCTGAAAAGTTCATATATAGTGACAACAATTTAGGATGGAATCACGGCACAACACAAAACCAACAACTTATATACACTTAAGGGTCGGTTTGGTACTGCTTTTGTAGGAAGCACTGATGCTCATAACCGCTTTTACTATAAGTGGTTTTATTAAAAACACAGTCGAAATAGTTTTAATTTTTCCTACCAAACCTATTCAGAAGCGTTTTTTGTTGTCAAAAACCGCTTTTAGACAACACCGTCAACAACAACAACAACAACATCAACATCAGCAACAACAACCAACAAAAGGGAAAAAGAGAGAACCTCAAAGTTGAATCGATCACGAGATGCCTCGAAAGCTTTTTCAAGATTTCTCTTGCCCACAAAGCACCACGGGCACACCGTATCCGAAACGATGTCGATTTGGATGAGCTTTTTCACACCAGCCATGTATCTACTTCTGCCACAAAATTAACGGCAATTAGAACAATTCCCTTGGGCAATTTTGACATCAAAAGCCAACCAACATCGACCAACATATCCATACAAATTCGAACACAACGATTGATGAAACAAATGAATCTAGTCAAGTAGAAAGCTTTGATGCCTTCATTAAAAGTTGCTAAGCACTTATGTTACCTGTCTGTCTGTAAAGACTGTAATTTTATCAAAAGCTTGCGTCTTTGGAGAAAGAGAAGGCAATCGCACTCCCACGTACTGGCTTTAGATGCTCTGCGGACTTTTCCATCTTTTTATTTTCAGGCTATTAATAACCCACGCAACTCAAAGGTCAACGAGAGATAATCTTGAGTGGCATATTTGATAAAAAAAAACTTCTTACGCATCTTTTATTAATTTATGTCTATTGATTTTCTTTAATTCATTTAATCCAACGATCGAAAACTAAGAAGGTGTAGGAGAAATAAAAAGGAATGTGTGGATATCACACTCCAAAAAAAATAGGAGAAATAAAAAAGAATGTGTGGATATTACACTCTAAAAAAAAAGTCTCTCGTGGGAGGACTTGCATGGCATTTTGACGCGATCCAATGCATCAGCGATGCATAAAACGTAATGACATTTTACCCTCAAAAGTCAAAAATTTCCCAGGTGGATGGACTATATGACACGGTGGTATGCCGTCCTAATGAAACCAGGAGGATTATCTTCGGATTCTTTTTATGAGGATCTTGGGGATCCTCAAATTATGATTGTTCATCGTATATCGTGCGGTCAGTTTTCGTCATGTATTACTTATATTTAATTTTAAATAAAAGTATTTAAAATGATTTCTGGTCATACGATGCACGATGAACGGACACGATTGATTGATTCTGGATCCTCTTTAAATTCAAAATTCAAAATGATTTCTAACCGCACGATGTACGATAAACGGACTTGATTGATTGATCCTCTGGATCCCCACAAAGAGGATCCAGAGAGGATCCTATTCCAAATAAAAACATGTGTAATTTGTTTGTTTAAGTGTCGTTTTTTCTTGCCTCTTAATACTACGGTCTAGTGGTATTCCTCTTCACTTGTAAGCGAAAGGTCTTAGGTTCAATTCTCACTAAAGACAAATTTGAACATATTATTGCTTGCCCATTGTGAGGCTAAACCCACCCCCTTCCCGTTAGTGTAGATAATCGTTTATTAAAAAAAAAGTATCACTTTTCTTATTGGCATGAGACATTATGTGACGATGTATTCGCGCCATGTAAATTGTTCATCTCAGGTGGACTACACATGACAAGAAAGGACGACATGTTAGACTAAAATTTGAAAATCTAATAGTAGAAAAAAAAAATGGGCTAGTTATAAAAATTCATGAGAGTAATTAGCAATGTCTCATAAGGTCAGCGGCAAATTGACGAATAGTTCTTAAATTATATAAAAAAAATTGAAACAAAGACATATTTATTTAGACTAAAGTGGGAGAGAATAAATTAGTTGTGAATTTTGAAATTCGAATTTAGGATCTCTCACTCATAAACAAAGAAGAATACCACTAAAACATAGTATTAACAAAAAAAATGTGTATTGTTATTAGCAATAAAAAAATCATTGTGCATTGGTCCATATTATTTCTCAACTTAAAAAATCTTGAGTGTAATTAAATTTTTAGAGTTGCAATAAAAAATACATAACCTTCACTAACACTATGCTTGGATTAGGAAAATAAACTTGAAATTTTGCCAAAAGTCAAAATTTATAAATTGACATGCACCAATTTCCTTGTTTGCATTTATAAACATAAAAATACAAAATTTTTGCATGGGAAAAAATTTGGAATTTGGGACCTCCAATTCTCAAGTTTAAATTTCATGTAAATATGTGTTATTTCTAAGTTTCTACGAGTAAGAGTTTAAAAATAAGAATTAAGTATTCAAATTCCATTATTCTTAGGTTAACCAAACAAGAAAATTCATAAATCCTAGAAAATAAAATTTCATCATTGATATCTTTATCATTATAAAATTGGATTAATTACACTAACAACCCTTGAAGTTTATCGAATTTTCACAAAACCCCCTCACGTATGAGACATTAGACTAACACTCCCTCACGTTTTAATTCACTTTCACGTAACCCATTTAGTCAATATTTTGCTAATAAATTGACAACTTTACCCTTATAACTAATTAATTAAATAATAAAGAAATATATTAGAAAAAGAAAATATTAAAAATAAATAAATTAAACATAAAAAAAAAATAAAGTTAAAACTTCTAAACTAGGGCTGCTGCGTCTACCAATCGAGCAAGCCTTTTGCCTTAGATCGCAGCCATGTCTTCCAAGCAAGGTGGAATAGCAAAGCCCTTGGAGGCAGCCGAGGCCGAGAAGGAGTACGACGAGTCCGATTTGGCCAATCTTTAGAAGGAAAAAGATGAGGAAAAGGCACTGAAGGAGCCGGGGAGGGTTTAGGGATGAAGGCGATGGTGGGACGGCGGGAGGAAAAACTGTGGGTCGTGGAGCTGGGGAGGATATAGAGTTCTCTCTCCTTTTTCTTTCAATTTTTTAAGTTTTTAATTTTTTTTAATGTTGAATTTATTTATTTTTAATATTTTTTTCTAATATGTTTTTTATTATTTAATTAATTAGCTATAAGGGTAAAGTTGTCAATTTATTAGCAAAATGTTGACTGAAGGGGTTATGTGAAAGTGAATTAAAACATGATGGAGTGTTACTGTAATGTCTCATACGTAAGAGGGTTTTATGAAAACTCGATAAAGCTCAGGGGGTGTTAATGTAATTAACCTACTAAAATTTCTTAGAAATCTTAAATTTTGTCAGACATATGTGTAAATTTATTGAAATATATTTTTGTGGTGAGAAAATTTCATTGGTTCTACGCAGCTGCATGCGGGCCTCAACCACTGAACCCGACCCGACTCCGCGTTCACCTCCCAGATTCTCGGAACACAACATGTAACTCTTTATATTTCACAGATGACTAACGGCAACCATTTTTCAGTTTCTCCCTTCTTTCTTCCTCTTCCACTTTGACTCCTCACCTCAGGTATCTCCACCACTCGCCCTCTCTCTCTCTCTCTCTCTCTCTCTCCTCTGCTTGGCTGCCGAGAAAATCCAACCAAACAGAGCACCCATTTTGTAAAGCTCCCAACTTTCTCCTTTAATTGGATTCAAATTTGTTAACATTTTTCAAATTCGTTGACTTGCAAGTTTGCAACTTTGTCGTTCAATTTGTGAAGGACATTTATGAAAATGGACATTGATGAGCTTCTGGGTCGCAACCAGCCGGTGAACATTCCGACCAAGAGTGCGATATACGTGTGGGGATATAACCAGTCCGGGCAGACGGGTCGGAACGGGAAGGAGCAGCAGCTGAGGATCCCGAAGCAGCTCTCGCCGGAGCTTTTTGGGTGTACGGCGGGGGCTAATTCGCGGTGGCTGGACATTACTTGCGGCCGCGAGCACACCGCCGCTGTTACCTCAGACGGGTCGCTTTTCACTTGGGGTAATTAAGCTTTCATCTTCTTTTTTCTTCTTTATTTATTTTATTTTATTGTGTTAATTTTTATAAATTTCAATTCTTCCATTTTTGAATTTAATCAAATTGCAAATTATGAGTAATGATAAATGGTTCATTTGTGGTAGTTGATGAAGTAAAATTGATCTTTCTAAAAAAAATGTAAGTAAATTTGATGACTTTTTGTGGCTAAAATCAGACGGTTGTTTTTTTTACCCGGGTTATGATTCATCTGTATGGCTCTGTGATGATAATCTTTCAGTTATGAGTTCAATCAATGGCATTGTGGGAACGAACGATTTCCCGTCTTAAATCGCCATTTCTCGGTTTGGAAATGGTTGATTACAATGATGGAGACAAGTCATATGTTTGTGGTAGTTAATGGAGTAAATGTATATTGTGTTTGCAATTGATCAGGAGCTAATGACTTTGGTCAATTGGGAGATGGAACGGAGGAGCGAAGAAAAAATCCGAAGAAAGTGAAGCAATTACAGGCAGAGTTTGTGAAATCTGTGTCTTGTGGAGCACGTTGTACCGCTGCTATTGCAGAACCTCGTGAAAATGATGGAACCGTCTCAACAAGAAGGCTTTGGGTGTGGGGGCAGAATCAGGTCCTACTATGATTTTCTTTAGCGTCATTCCTGCTTTCATTCCTTTTTGGCAGATAATGATTTGTTTACCTTTACCCCTACTTCTCATGACAGGGATCGAATCTTCCACGTTTGTTTTGGGGAGCCTTTTCTCCAAACACCGTATGCTACCCTTCCTATTCATTATGCTTTTCCTTATAGGTTGCAATTGTTCGGCCTCAGAATTACGATTTTTTTGGATAAAATCATTTTCTTTTATCAGGTAAATTGGTTCTGTTAAGAAAAAGTTGGGGTGGTAATTTTAATAACCTTGATTATTGTCATCACCCGGGTTGGTTGACGAACAATTGCTAGGGAGGAACACCTGTTGTATCGAATGCTTCAGAAAAGGAACACTATATAGTGAAATACTTTTATTTGGGTAGAGTGAATGGTTATCAAACTTAATACCTGCTACTTACTAGAAGGTTTCTCACAGATTATCCGTCAAGTGTCTTGTGGGGCAGTTCATGCGATGGCTTTATCAGAGGATGGCTTGCTACAAGCTTGGGGTAAATGCATATTCCATTTTTTAGTTTCTGATGATGTCGTTATTTTTGCGAAATTTTGCTAGAGAGACATATCCCGTAGAGAAAATGAAAGAAACCTGAAATTCATCTTCTCCCACCTCTAGTTAATCAAATTTTAATACTGTGATGATACACCAGGATATAATGAATACGGTCAGCTTGGCAGAGGATTTACATGTGAAGGATTACAGGGGGCTCGTATAATAAATGCATATGCGAAGTTCCTAGATGAAGCCCCTGAGCTTGTGAAGATTACCCAAGTGTCATGCGGGGAGTACCACACAGCAGCTATATCTGAAAAAGGCGAGGTGTAAGTGATTTGAGGAATTCTTAGATGGAGATTAGGTTATACATCTAAGCTTAAGTATTGTGGTTATCCCCATGGCACATTTAGTTCAGAAGGTTTGCGAAAATCTTCGTATGGGAATCTCACATTTAAAAGGAGACAGGATGGCTAGAATACTGGACACATTATGCGACTATGCATTCTCGGAATTTATATTTGTTTTTAATCTGTGATTTTTTATTCATATCGAACCCTTGTTGATTCTGAACTTTGTTCGCGAAGGAACTGGGATTATGACGGGCCAGCCATTTTTTATGAGAAATGCTTTGGTCTCAGTTATTTTACTAACCAAGGTTCTAGATAAAGAGGTTATCTGATATTGATGTGTTATGAAGTGACATGCCAGTTATACTCATATACTCTTGATCTGTTATGTAGTCTTCCCAACGAGTCGGTTATTATTGTAATTTGACTACAATGTTTATTCATTTGTTTGTTTAACTGCGGTTTCTTCTCGGAATTCTTCCTCACAATGATTTTATTTGGCCCTCATAGGTATACTTGGGGGCTAGGAAACATGGGTCAACTTGGGCATTGTTCCCTTCAATCTGGGGAGAAAGAGTTATTGCCTAGGAGAGTGGTCGCACTTGATGGAATAGTCGTAAAGGATGTTGCATGCGGTGGCGTACATACATGTGCTGTGACTCAGAAGGGAGCTCTTTATGCTTGGGGTGGTGGTCGTGCAGGGCAGTTAGGCCTTGGCCCTGAAACGGGATTATTTTCATGCAACCCTAATGAATCTCAGTCATTTTTCCGGAATATTCCTGCGTTGGTTATTCCAACTAGTGTGCAACTCATTGCGTGTGGACACTCCCACACGCTTATCTCTACAAGGGATGGAAGAATTCATGGATGGGGCTACAATAGCTATGGTCAAGCATCTAATGAGAAACTAACTTACGCTTGGTATCCATCTCCAGTTGATTGGTACGGTACAGATAAATTGTTCACGATCGGTTTTTTTGTGGCTATCTTGATTGGCACATTGATTGAAGTTTGCATCGCACAGGTGCGTTGGGGAAGTGCGAAAACTTGCAGCTGGTGGTGGCCATTCAGCCGTGTTGACTGATGCATGTACCTTGAAGGAATTGTGTGAATTTAGGCTTGCAGATAGTGTTAATCTAAAGAATGCTTCTACGATTGAGGACATTGCGTCTAGAACAGGTTCAGACGCTTTAGCACGGCTTTGTGAAAGATTGAGGTATGGATTTCTTTTCACTTGGTCAAAAGGTGAACAAATTTGCACTTCGTCCATGTTCTTATTCCACAATTACATGATGATCATTTATCCACCTCGGTAAAATTAGGATAAATCTCATAGAACTTTTTTTTGAGGGAAAGTAAATCTCATAGAAAATAAATATGAATCACAAACAAAAGAAATGTAACTTTAGCTTCTTTTATATACAAAGTTCCTTCTGATAACTGAACTACCCTGAAAGAGTTCACTAGTTCATAGAGGCGCGCATTTCCTCCTCGGAGTGTTCTATTTGTTGATCACATAATATTCCATGAACTGGTAATGCTCTCGGAGCTTTGCACCGTTGGTTGCGATGTGCTTCTTTTCACTTATTCGTTATGTGTATCTTTGATGAGGATACCAATGTGAGTTTCTATTTCGTGCAGGCAGCATGTGTATGAGAGTGGCGACTGTGAATACGAAGACGATTAGAACAGCAGTTATTCGATGTGAAGAAACAATTGGATTAGATTTAAAATTGACATCCATTATTTCAATTTATTCACTTTATGGAAGAAGTTGTAATCAGATTATGAAGGGGTTCAACCCATGTATATATGTCAAACTAATATCATTTGTAACCACAATTAAGTCAAGTACACAGTTGTATTGAAAACAATCACATTGAGATGTCGGACTTGTTTATGTAATTATTCAATATGTGTATAAAAATGAAAGACTTGATTCTCGACCATATCTGATGACTTCTCAATATAAGCTATACTGTCGTTCGAACCCTGAAACTATTTACTCCAGTTGAAATTGATTTCTTAAACTATTATTTTGGTAAATTAACCTCCTGATCTATTTGAAATTAGCCAATTAACCCGGTCAATTTTGATGAGATTTCATATACTTTGCTGTCAAATACTAGCATGTGATTCACTCTTGAGGGTCAAGTTGTGCTAGTATTTGACAACAAAGTAGACGAAATTTCATCAAATTTAACAGTGGGGTTAATTGCTTGATTTCAAAAAGTCCTAGAGATTAATTTACCAAAAAAATAGTTCGAGTTTACTTACAACTGGAGTAATAATTCAAAAAGACAAACAGTAGTTATGCTCAAGTCAGAAATAATTGTTAGGTTTTCGACGTGGGACTTTACATAATTCATCACTTACAGAGGCGGATGCATTGAGAGGCAAGGGGTCAGTTGACCCCCCGAACTTCAGTGAATGTCCAGGGATAACTTGAGTGCTAACCCTCCGAACTTCGATGAATGTCCATATATAACTTGGGTGGTGCCCCTTTAAAGATTGGAGTTGGTTTCATACATGTCCTCCAAATTTAAGAGTGGCTCTTCTTCTTATTATTTTTTAAAATAAATATTACTTTGTCAAAACGCATAGTTTCGGACCCTTAGTTTAATTATTAAAAAAAACACCAAGGGCCAACAAAATAAACACATGGATGATGGATATGTTACTCGAGGGAGATCATGGCGTAGAGCTCAAAGAATCACAAACTTCCATCATTATCATATGGAGCTCTTTGTTGCTATTGTTGATAAGCAACTTGTGGAATTAAATAGTTGCTTGATGAGATAAATACAGAGTTGCTTCTTTGTTTAGCAAGTTTGAGCCCGGATGATTCATTCTTGGCTTTTGATGAACAAAAGCTAATTTGTTTTGCTCATTTTATCCGAATGAATTTACTACTTGTCAACTCTTGGAACTTGAAGATCAACTTGGGCATTATATATTTGATATGCGTTCAAATAGTGAATTTTCTCAATTGAAAGGAATTGGTAGCCTTGCCAAAAAAAAAAAAAATGGTGGAGAAGAGGAGGAATAGAGTATATAATCATGTGTATTTACTAATTACATTGGCTTTTGTTTCACCAGTTGTTACTGCTTCAGTCGAGAGAGTTTTTAATGCTATGAATATTGTGAAGATTCCATTGCGTAACTGAATGGAAGATCGATGGTTGAGTGATAGCATGATGGTTTATATTGAGAGCAATGTTTTATTTCATTGACAATGAAGCTATAATGCAACATTTTCAGAATATGAAAACGCATCGGGGACTATTGTAACTTGTATTATTATTTGTTCTATAAGTTATGAATGATGGAACTATGATTTATTTCTTAAGGTTATTATATGTCTGGAAGATGTTTGTAAACTTTTACACGTGATCCCCTGAAATATTTTCTGGATCCTCACTTAAGTGATCCCCAAAATTTCTTTCAAGACGATTAGAATATTAATTACAAGTTTGAAGAAACATTGTTTTTAATATTATTCTTTAATTACAATAGCAAAGCTTATATTTTATTCAAATGGCGAAAGCTCATATTTCATTCAAATGGCGAATGCATTAGAATTTAGAAGGTCTTCCGCCGGTCGAGGTGGAGGTCTTCCGGCGAAGCATATATTTCATTCAAATGACGAAAGCATCCACAGTGGCATGCGTGTGTTTGTAGCAGCAGCCGGTCGAGGTGGAGGTCTTCCGCCTTTATCAGAATCATTGTCATCCACTGCTCCTCTTGCCTGGACTCCCCCACTGCATGATTTTCTACATACATATAATTAGCTTTTCCACGCAACCCTAATGTGTTTCCGGTTCTTGTACTTTATATAGTCCTAAAATAATATGATCATTGGAAACATTGCTGAGAGAGAGAGAGAGAGGGAGATCGTACCTGGTCGTTCGAAAAGTAGGTAGTGTTGGTGTTGATGGGGGTTGGGGCGGCAGCGGCGGCGGTGGCATGAGCATGAGGGTAGTTGAGTTGTGGCGGCCTTGGTTAGTTTGCTGCTGCCCTACTACCTGCACCTGGTCATGTTCTTCCTCAAGTATCGTTTTATTCTCCTTCACCTTGGATCAATTATATTTGTTGTTATATCCAAGATTTAATTTTATTAATATTCTAAAAAAAATATTTCTCATAAATAAAACATATATATATATATATATATATATATATATATATATAAGAACGCTTTTAAATTTTTAATTACCTTCTTTGCTAGCGACTTGTTTAGTTCCCGTAGAGCCCTTTGCTGGAACAAGTCACAATGTGAGATATACAGACACGCATAAATGCGCATGCATAAACACCAGTTTCATTTCATCTTTGAATATGATGTTAATCCCATTAAACATACCTAAAGTGTGATGCTAAGCCCACCTGAGTGAAGGTATATATATAGTTAAGGTAACAATTAAGCTAATTAACCCAGAAACATACAACGATTAGTTAATGTCCTCGCACACGTACAAACACATGCATATTGGAACAACATTCTACCTTCTTGTCCATCTCTGAAATGGATTCATGCACGAGTTGGTTCTGCAAATGTCAGAATTATATATGGAATAAGTATAAATTAATTTATATTAATTAGATGCCAAGGTAGCTTACCTATATATAATCCATGACAGATATGATTAATTCGAGATTTATATTAATTGAGTTAAGTAACTTCATTACCTTTCTTGTTCGTATGCGCTTAAGGGCTGTATCAAGCTGTTGCTCCAAATCTTGAAGCTCTTTCAAGCTCAAGGGGTCTAAATCTTCTCCCACCAAATTCCTAGAGAAACAGACGTTAAATACAACTTACGAACATTTTCTCATAACAATTTCTTCATAAATATATCAATGCTATATATATATATATATATATTTTTTTTTTTTAATTACTATTATGAAGGCTAAGGATACTATTACAATAGTTTAGGGGGAGAGGGAAGTTTCGAACTTCGGATGCATGTGTAGGAACCCAACACCCTATCCACTAGGATATTAGACTACATGCATCTAGGAATTACTATATATCACTCTCACTCGAACAATATTTATTTAATTAGATTTTCTCAAGAGCGTTTTCCTGTCTCAATAAAATTCTTGAATTAAATAACAATAGCTTAAATAATTTGCCTTAGTTTCCTTTGTAAGACTTCAATCCTTGCCGCAAGCTTGGGGTATTCCACCAGCCAGTTTTCCTGTAAGAAGCATACAAGCTTTATCACGCAATCTAAGATTCAGAAATTATTACAAGGATTTTCAAATGCAAGAACATCTCCATGGGTAAGTATTACAAATATTGGTTAGGACTTAGGAGGCTCCTGACATTATTTCTTTGACAGGGTTCAAATACCCGACAAGGTTTTAACAAGGCTACATTACGCACAGTTACTTTTGTACGGTACTATCTAAAAAATAATGAGGTGCATATAAAATGAAAAATATAATTACCAGAAAACTAGGGATTCTGCAGGATCTTTAATGGCTTAACCTAATCCAACCTTATTAGAAAGGCAGGTTTTGCAATCAGTTAACAACCCTAAATCAATTTCTTGCGGATCAGTATTGTATTGAGGGACCTCAATTTGTAACCAATTCCCGAGTCTAAAAACATATATACAAGAAAGAAACCTAATTGATGCAACTTTTCATTTTTTACTACATATTCTTAGTACTAGGTCTAGAATATTAAATACCTGTGATTCAGAATCAGCTCCGGTGCGTTGCCGTTCTGCATAGGAATATTGGTCGTATCGATCCAGAATCCTCATCATGCTTCACAAAAATGAAATCTTTCAGAATGACAAGCCAATGAAGCTTATAAATATAAAATAAGCGCACATCATACATAGTTGTCCAAGAATACATCAGAATCATAAAAGTAGATGAATTGTTGAAAAGCGAAATCAAGAATGATCACGAAAGCCCAAACTTTTGTTATATATAGCTTTTGATACATATCGTTGGGATTTAAGAAAGAAGGCCCTAGCTTGAACAATCGGCCAATATAAACTTGCTCTGGAGAACAACCTTTCATATGTTGGAAACGAGATAGACTCGCAGAGTTCTCCAACTATGCAGCAGCCTACGTATTTCTTTCTCTGCCAGCACCACTCACTACGAAAACCCACATATCCAGTTCAACGTTTTCAGTTGTAATCTAGTGCAATCGCTAAGGCTTCATTAGGGGGATTACATTCGTTACATTACAGTACTGTGCACGTTAATAACATGTGTTATTTCTAATACTGGAAATAGAAGAGTTCACCATGCCAGTCATGAACGTATACAATTGTTGTTTACAATTTGGTTTCATACCCTACAACTTGATAAGCATAGGAAACACAAGGCATGTATACATTAGGTTGAGAGTCTTCTAATAATATATTTTGACAGGAAACGACAAAAGAATGAACTATTCCAATTAAGACAATTTACAAGCGGTATTTTGGACAATAGAATGAACTATTTTTCGAGACTAAACATTTAAAATGTAAAATTTAAGATAATTGTTGGCATATATTCAGCACAAACTTTTAAGCTTTAAAGAATAATGTGCAGTAGACCAAATAAAATCTGTCATATAGACACCTCCCTGCTTAATTTCTCCTTATATATTTGACCGTCCCCAATGAGAAGGAGAGAGGTAGGTATATAGGTTAGAAAAATATTAGAGCATAATGTAATTGTTGACTCAGCTCACATCTTGATAGCTTGAACTGAAATCAGGCATAGATTCTAACACACTTAGTTTGACGGTTAAACTGATGAGTCCCTTTATCTTGGTGACAGTAAAGCGAAAGAGTGGCTATGTCTCTCTAATTTGCAAAACCATGGACTCAGGAGCTAGAACTGTAAGGTTGGGGGCCGAGTAAATACAAGTATAGAAAATATATCAACTTGTTGGGATCCAAAAGGACAATAATTTGCTAAAAAATGTTAAGTGTTTAAAAACACTAAATGCTTTACTGGTGCTTTACTTCCAAGTTCTTTTTTAGAGTCCTTCTAATGAAAAGTATTTCCAACAAAAACAAGTTTATGAGTAAAAGTGATTTTGAGAGAAGCATTTATGAACGGGCCATTAACCTCAAATTTATGAGTAATGCTTTCTTGTAAACACGTTTAGCTTATTACATTGTTCCATGCAAGTGAAATCATTTATGTTGTGTTTCGATGAGTGATTTCCATGTACCAATGAGTTTAGTCTAATTAGTTACAGACACACCCGAGTGGAAGTAGGCAAAAACTTGCCTAGACGTGGCCGAGGTGCGCCATAGGGCGTCTTGGGCAATTTTTTTTTAGGCTTATATTTAGCTATGCCCCTTAAAACTTCATTTTGATCTCACTTTACTCTTTGTAAATTATAAGTCACAACTTTACTTCCTGAAACTCATAGGTTGCTCCACTTTGCCCCTTGGAACTCGATTTTAACACCATTTTGACCCTTAAAACTTGAAAGTCGTCTCTATAAAACTCAAAATTCGCTCCACATAGCCTTAGATATGTTAATTTCTTATGTGGGTTTAATTGGGGTGCGCTAGGCTAATCAATTTCTTTTTTATTTTTTTCATCTCTTCAATCTTTTTAACCTTAATATTCTCTGATTGTCGAATGTTAACGCATAATGGAGATTTATAATCAAATTTATTGTATGTGGCATAGTAATATAGAGTCTTGGGTCCCACATGTGTTTCAGGAGGCGACCTTTAAGTTTCAGAGATGAGAGATTCTTCAAGTAAAAGTGAAACAAATTTTTAATTTTAGGGAGAAAAGTTGTGACTTTTGAGTTATAGGGGGTACGGTGAGATCAAAATGAAGTTCCAGAGGGCATAGCTAAAAATAAGCCTTTTTTTTTCTTAATAAAACTTCTTCTTAGTCTTCTTCATTCGACACTCGAGTCCTTGGAACCTCGCATTCTTTTTCTTCTCTGTGAAACACTAAAACTCTCCCTTCTCTTCTTCGCGTGATACTACCAACTGAGCAACACCTGCTACCACCCAGCGAAGAAGGAAAGTGAGAGTAAGGGAGAGTACTGAGGGTAAAAGTGGTGGGGGATGTATACGGACCATTTAAACGTTGTAAATGAGTGGGCATTAACGAGAGAGAGACACAGAGAAACAAGAGGGAAAGTGAGAGTAAGGGAGAGTACCGAGGGAAAGAGTGGGTGGGGGGTGTGTGGACTATATTAATGTTGTAAAATGAGTGGATATTAACAAATGAGAGGAGGGAAAGTGAGAGTGAGGGAGAGTGTACCGAGAGAAATAGAGTGAGTGTGGGATGTATATGGGCCATATTACTGTTGTAAATGAGTGAGATATTAATGAGGAAAAAAGACTGTTTGTTACCAATTTTTTTTTTGTTTTTTGTTTATATTTCGATCTATGTGGACCATATTTGGATGAATGATTTCTTTTCTTTGTTTGTATGTTTGAGTTAAATTTACTAATGACTTGTGCACTTCATGACAAAGGATTTTTTTTTACAAAGTATTATATTTTGTATAATATAATTATATATATATATATATATATTAAAAAATTTAGGTCCTGAGGCTTCGCCTCATGCCTCAAGGTTTTGTTTAGGTAGGATTATCCATGAAACGCCTGGTCTACGCCTTCATCTTAAACAATAGTTTCAAATAACTCATTTTAAGTAGTAATTTCAAATCCCTTGGTACTAACAAATTTCAGCAAATGCACTGCTTTTAGACTTCAGAATCCACATATCTTATATTTTGTAGTACTTTCTGGCTAATATAGCTTAAATCCCTTAGTACTTGGTCATCACTCGTCCAAACACAACATACATGATTTTACTCTTTGGGAAAATTGCAAAAGTTATACTTGATGACAATATACATTACTCGTGAAATCGAATAACTTATTTCCTTACAAACTATATTTAGTAACTTTTTTGGCTAAAGGGTGAAGAAGGATTGAGGAGAATGGAGTGCTACTAATGAAGGATAATTAACGAAACAAAAACTTAAAATTAGTGAGTTTTTAGTTTTTAATTAGTTTCCATTTTATATAGTATTCTTCAAACATTTCTACCCCCTTCCTCCGACCATTCTTTGTCACTCTTTTCTTTTGTATACCTCCTCTCCGTCTTAAACAATAAGAGAAATCTAAAACCAATAGAAGGAATATGTTACAGAACAAGCCCTTATATTCACATAATCTCATAGATATAAGTTTCCTAATATCCACACTTACATTCTGTTATGTCCAATGGTATCATGCATTTTATAAAACTTTCTATCTCAATCTAAATTGCAAAGAGAGAACTGTTGAACGAAATATTTATAATAAGGGGTGGAGAAATAAATTGGTATCAAACTTACCATTTACAAGATTCGAACCTGAAGTCTCTCACTTACAAGTAAAAAGAAATACTACTAGCTCATAGTATTAAGTGATGAAAGAAAGAGAACTTAGTGATAGATGTGAGCAAATATTCATTTATGAAATCTCTTAAGTAATTTCATACTAGTTTAAAATGTTTTCCAAAATTTTGTAAGTTCTCATCCACCATTGGGTAAGTGTATGATTTAAAACAGACACAAGTTTAGGAAATTGACCTAGCTAACCATCAATATAGAGTAATACTTGGATTCCTGTTAGCTACAGATGTCCCTAATTCTTGTTGTCTTGTCTAAATGGTTAATCACACCAAAATGAAAAATCCTTTTGAGAATCGTAATTTTTTTATTAAAAATGATCAATATTTCTACACCATATGTACTAAGAAAAAAGAGAGTTTTACTTCGAAACACAATAAACAAGACATGAAAACTCTAATCACTGGAACAATTCACCAATCTTTGAAATATTATATTTGGTAACGAACCAACATACGTTTCCCTCTTTTTCTTATGCAACTGTTCCAGAACTTACTGGATGATTGGAGGAGTGCTTTCTCCTAAGTCCTAGGTGCGCAACCAGAATCATATTGGATATGCTACATTTACAAGATGCTCAAACATATATCCTAGGTAACAAAACCTAGGAAAACACCAAGCCCATCATGACTCATTGCTCAATAACCCTCACCCGGGTCCAACACCTGTGAACAAATTATTTTAAAAATTAATTGCTAATTTTAAAAGTACAAGTAAGAGCAACCGCCCATGGTACTGCATCTTAGTTTGGTTTTATATGAGACAATAACCCTTATCTCAGACATTACGCAAGTGGATTACAGAAATTAATTATTCCTTTTTTAAGTATATGGATAGGATTGTGATATTTGTACTCATTTTTATCTCTCACACAACTTTATTAATTTTCATCTATTAATCTCTTTAATTCATTTAATCTAATGATTAAAAATTAAAAGAATTATGTAAGAACATTACCAATATAGATATTTATATAAAATTAGCATTTAAAATTTAATTAACTAATTCACTCTCATGATTTGACCAGTAAGTACTCCCTTGTCACGTCTGCGAATGGTGAAATGAACAAGGGCCATGTACTTCTTCTGACAACTGAAGTAGTTATATTTTGTGTATATCTTTGTCATGTAAATATGTCGACCTCTTAAATATGGTACAAAAAAATCGATAAAAAGGGCAGATCCAGAAAAAAAGTAGAGGGAGAGATGGAGCTTAAGTGTATAAGTTGTTTAATTAAGTTTAATTTTATTTTATGTTTAAGATGACTGGCGAAACACAAGCAAAAAATACTAACAACAAACAAGACTAAGAAAAGAGATGTATATACCCAGATAAAATATATGCTCAATAAGCTTGAGTAACGTTCAGACCTGAAATCAGTAGAATACTCAAAGAGCTTCCCTACGGTGGAGAAGACAATAACTGCCACCTCAGCATCACACAGAACAGAGATCTCATGAGCTTTTTTGAGCAATCCACTCCTTCTCTTTGAAAACGTTACTTGCCTGCTTATCTTGTTCTCGATCCGCTTCATCTGCACCTTACCTCTTCCCATTTCTTCTTCTTTTCTTATATATTGCCAAAACTAGAAAGGGGAGAAGCGGAAGAAATAGCACTTTCTTTTTTAGTGCTTAGAAACCCAAGAGATGGAAAATATACCAAATTTGAGAGAAAACCCTAATTTGGTTGATACAAGAAAGGAAAGCGAGCTGGATGATGAGGAAAAGCAAAAAGCAGGATGAGGAAGACAGATGGTTTTTTTTTTTTTTGTAGTATCTTTCTATTTTTGTATTGGGAGTGCCTTGGTTTTAATTGTTTTGTGGAAGAAAGGCGCTGAGTATAAAGGACAAAGCTCGGCTGCTGAAAAATTCAGCTGCAACTTTTACTGCTAACAACAAATCACGAATAAATAAGTGTTCAATTTATGATTAAAATATTAATTATTAAATACGTGTTCATTCATGGTTGGTTAGTATTTACTCCGTTCGATATGGCAAGAAAGAGAGAGATAAATACGGTGGTTTTGGGGAATGCGTTGTCGAGATGGGAGTGGTCCAAAAGACCAATCAGCTGTTTGGTCTATCAGCTTAGTCGCATTTGCAGACTGTCCGTACAAATGTCATGTCAGATTAGGCTCTGCGGGGCCAAACAGAGGCGTCATCGCAGTGCGGTAAGCATTTGCCGTTGCTGACGGCGCTTAATTTTTCCAAAAAACAAAAACAAATTAAGTATATAAATTATTTTTAAATATTGCAGCTAATCCCATAATTCGAGAGAGCATCTGATCTTGGTCGGATCCTCTTTGTGAGAATTTTAAAAAAAATTTAATTATATTCGTTCATTGTATATTGTGCTGTTTTGTTAGGTACTGTTTATATTCAATTTTAAATAAAAAAATGTATAATAATTTTTTATCACACAATGTACGATAAATCAATGTAATTAAAAAATATCTAGGATCCTCTAGCCATAATTCTAGGCATAACATCGAATTTATGTCTTTTGATGGAAAATATAAGGTGGTATATTGTTTATCAGCACTGCCCTAACTCTTGGAGCTTTTTCACCTTCGTCCTTCAACTTTATTTATTTTTGTCTCCAAGTTGTCCTTTATTATTTAATGTGTGTTTATTAACAATTTAGGGGTATGCAGCATTTGTGATAAAAAAATGAATGAAAGTACCAGCCCAAATTGTCAATTTAATTTGGATTTTCAAAATCGCCATTAAAACTGAATGAAGAATTTTTTTACCCTAAAAAATATTTTAGTAGAATAACCGATTAATACGTTTTAGTTATTGTCTTTTATTGCAAGTAGTCGTTCAGTGTTACATTTGCTAACAAAAAATCTTATATCAACTTGACTTGGTATCGATGCAAAAAGTTTTCGAGCTAACATAGTTGATATTGTGGTCTGTTAATTTTGTAAATGAAGTCATTGTTGTTCTTATTTAACAAAGTTTTTTTTTTATTTTTTTGTTTACAAATAATAACGTTAGTAAATTAAATTGTTCAATGTTATGGGAAATGAGAATAAGTGGAGATTAAACTTGCATCATGGTGCATAAATATTATAGTTTTCTGCCACTACGGTAAAACATCATCTGCATTTATTGAACACATCTTTAACTTACCTAGGACAAAAAAATGTTTGAGAACAAAAATGGAAAAACCACTAGAATTAGGGAGAAGTTTGTAATTAATTCAAGATTATATATTAATATAATGGGTAATGCTATAGAAATTAAAAATTTAAACTAAATTTAAAAATTAAATGATGTGTCACCAACAAAAAGTAAGTACATTAATCAAAATTTAAATAATAATCTAATCATCAACAACCACATCATTTAATTTACCAAATTTAACTTAAAAATTTAATCTCTCTAGTATTACACCTAATATAATTGGGTAGATTCATGAGGCAATAAATTCGTAACACTAATACTTCTGCGTTGTTGCGTTGAAAGTGCACAATACCAATTTGTATCTAATTAAATCATAGGATAGGTTTTTTTTTGTTCTGTTAAATTCAAATCATGATGGGTTTTCCAACCTTCACCCAGCATCATTTATTTGGAAAATAAAATCTATATTATTTTTAGATATCAATTTTGTAGCTTTCTTAACATGAGATAAAGTTGGACAAAGAAAAGGTCGAAATTATAATCTAGCTGGATACTTAAAAGTCAAACAGCAGCCGAGATCAACACTCAGCAATTCAGTTTCATACCATAAAAGGGCAATTAACATGATCCAATTACATCAACTTCCCCAGCAGTTATATGACGAGGCTCAACTTTATTTCTTCGTGGTAAAGAGGGGTGAAACACAAGCATCTTCAACTTGAATTTATACATGTAAATTACGGTGTAGCTAAGTTAGCGATAACAATATGTTTTACTTTTTGCATTCAAGTTTGCATTTTTTTTATATATTTTAAATGAATTTAGTAACTATACTATTATTTGTTTAAAAAAAGAAGATTTATACGTCATTAATTAAAATATTCTACCCCTCATTTTTTCTTCATCTTTTATCTCAATCTTTTATACGAAAATATTTTATTTTATTTTATTTTTAAAAATAAAAAATAAATGAGACGAAATGCCGATAACTTGTGGCGCCTGTCTAGCACCACGATGGCAGTCTCCTGGCCACACCCACACTGTAAAGGGAAAAGGCAGTAGGGAGGACTTCATTTATCAAGTCGTCCAGTCAACTACTTTTATGGATAATTAGCCAACACTTATTGGCATGTTTGTTTACACGAAAGCATTTGAATTATTTTGATTTTTTATAGTGTTTACTAGAGGCTGATATACTCAAGACTTGTATTGTGTTTACGGACAATTACGAAACCAAGACGTATACAGTTAGACTTCAAATTAGATTTCGTAATCCAATGTTTGAAGTAACAAGAATGAATAGATTGTGAGGTAGTTGATCTCACACTTATTTACTCTCTCTCACATTCTTAACTTTCTTGTTGGATATTATTATTCACACATTTATTTTTATTTTCGACACACATTTGTTAACATTTTACCATTAATGTTCTTCAATTTATTATATCCGATGAACGAAAATAAAAAATAAAAATAAATGTTTAAATAGGACTACAATTCTCATTTCATGACTTTCCTCGTCCAAAGTAACTACATAGGAAGAGACTACTAGCTAGTAGCTGCAATAAAGCCATCTTCAATTTATGCCCATAAATATTGTTACTTTCTTTACTAGTTTTATGCACAAAATCCATAAACAAATATGGACATCACAATAAAGGGAGAATCTTTGGATGAGCTCTTTGATCGCGTGGCATATTTCATCACTTAACATCAACAACTGTATATTAACTATTGAAACGTTGTTTATTTTATTAAGGGAAATCTAATGAAAATGACTTGAAAACTTTGAGTTTTAATCAAAATGATGAAAATATGTTGTAAGTGAATGGTACCAGGAATGACTTTTTAGAGTAAAAATATCATTTTTGCTAATAGTAAACAGTACCAGAAGTGTTTCGTTAAAACACCCTTTAACAATTGCTGCATAATTTCTCTTTTCCAATTGTTACCTGCTGCTGCTGCTGGTGGTGGTTGGGTCTCTCTCTTTTGTCAAATTAATTAAATTGGTTTTGTTTTTCGTTCGTGAGGTGGCTTCTTGTGTTTGTACATGGGGCTGGGCCCTTCGAAAGAGGAATGACTTACCTGCACTCTTTAGGTTTTGACGTTTCTTGTGTTTAAGAAGGCAGACGTTATGGTAATGTTCCGAATCAATAACACTGTCTTGTGCATGTTTAAGTTTATATCAAATAGCTGTTAGCTCTTAATTTGTTTACTTTTATGCACTCCTTTGAGCTGGTTTGTAAATTAACTCGGGATTTCTGTATTATGCTTCTATGTATTCTATATATCGAAATTTTTTGCAAACTAAATACGAGCTACATTTGACAACTACCTAATCCTTTACTACGAGTGTATAATATTGATCAAGAGAAGATCGACAAACAGGGGCGGAGGCACTATATGCCTAGCATAGGCCTACGCCTACTCTTACTCTTTAAGCCTTCCTAAATATTCAGTATTATATATTTATTTATTTCTTATAAGCTTAGTATTATACGTCTTTTAGTTTACACAAAACTCTTAAATTCTATTCACCAATGGTTAAAACAAGAGGTCTTTTTTTCTTTTAACCCAACGACACTAATCCTAAAACTGAATTTAACTCTTATTTTGTAAACAAGTCAATAACTCTTAAATTTAAAATTTGAAGTCTGCTTTAGTTTTATCAAAAAAATTATTTTACATTTCCAACCGAAAGAATAATAAACTTTGAGCTTTTCCTTCTTTCCTTGTTGAATTTCATATATTTTGTCCTCCAAATTTCCAACCCAAAAACAATATTCAGGTTTGTAAATCTTTTTTTTTTTTTTGTCAAATTGTAAATCTCTTTGTTCTCTTTAACTTTTTACTAACAATATTGTCTAAAAGCATGATCTCCCTAGCATTTTTCATTGACTTGATATTGGAAGGTTAATTTCTTTTACTCCTCTTTAATTTTGATTAACTACTCTCTATATTGACTAGATATTGGAAGGAAAATTTAATTAGCTCACAACTCCAGGCATGTATTATACCCTCTTTTAAACATTATCTTTCTTCTTTTTTTTTTAACATTTAGTCACTGAATACGACGGTCTGGTGGTATTCCTCTTCACTTGGAAGTGGGAGGTCTTAGGTTCGAATCTCGTAGACGGCGAATTCGATACCAAATTAAGCTGCTCATTGAGTGGTTTAACCGAACTCCCCCTCTCCTTAGTGTAAAAATATCGATGTACTAAAAAAAAAAAATGAGGCCCCTCCTCACGTAAAATCTTGGCTCCGCCACTGTCAACAAAACTAATCAAATTTAAAATCTTTTTCAGCTACCAATGCATAGTCATGGCATCTGCGACCGTGACCACCCTACTCTTGAACTTGAAATTATTATCTGACTACATTTCCAAAAGCACCGTATTCCATGCCTTTTAATAATACGGCTATATGTATAAGAGAGGGGACCATTTACTACAAACTATGAAGTCCTAAAATTTCAAATTAGTATGGTGGAGAACAAGTGTGATAAAAAAGGAAGATTTCTCACTTTTTTTTGTGTGGTTGTGCACATTTATTTATTTTTATATTGTTTGGTTAGTGATATTCGCTTGCAAATTTTTAAAGTGAACTAACGGGGTTTGGGTTTGATGTTAAATTCTGTTGATGAGTTTCGCATTCGATTACTTGAAGTGCGTGGTAGGCCTTCAAGAGCGCCCAAAATCTATGAGATTCTTTGGCTTTCTCTGTAAATTTGAAGCCAAGCTTAATACTGATGGTGCGGCTTGTGGCTCTTC